TGGTTGATTTCAATCACCTCATAAGTCCTCACCTTCTAGGCATTTCCTCCGACATGCGTAGTTGGAATATAATCCCCAACATTTTAAATAAATTGATCAACTTAAACAAAATTTGATTTTAAAATATAACGCCCAACATAGGATAATTTGAGTACATCTGAGTTTCCCTCATAATTAAATACTCTTACATTTCATTCCTTTGGCTTTCATTCCAAGAATTCTAATCAAAGTTTATCTCCTCTTCCCTTTAAATTCTTAAAGACAAGAAAATTTTAAACAAGAATTTCATAAATTTTAAAATGAAACATTTAGCTAATATTTTGATGATTTTTAAAAGAAAGAAAATCACTAGTTTAATCAAAAAAAAAATTCAAATAATAAATATTTGAGATGTAATTAACCATATGAGACATCCGTACCCTAGAATAAATAAACCTCATTCAACCAAATATTGAATGGAGAAAATCTCTGTTTAAAAGTCAAATTGTAAATTTTGCATTGAGTCAATACGAAAATAGTATTTTTGACCTTTAGGACAAGATATCATTTTCTATGACGTGCTCGATCACCAAATATGCAATCCATTGAGGATGACAAAATTTCTCCAACACTTCCTTGCTCTTAAAGGTCTCAATAGTCTTTGTTGCCTTCTTCTGCTCCTCTAACCACCCCTTCAAGAGCAAGATGATGCATTTTCCCTTGCCCACTATGGGCTTATGATAGGGCATCAACATCACCTCGGCTCTTTTTCTTCTCAAGTCCTTGTCAATGATGATTCCTCAGCTTAGCGCTATAGAAATAATAGAAGTAGTAGGCTTTGATGGGACAACTCTTGCTTGCCACCATATACGAGCTCACTCAACTCCTCTTGAAACTCAGGTGATGCCTAGCGACAAGCTGAGGGATATGCGACAAAAGAAAAAATTAGGAAACAAAGGGCAAACAAAAGTCGTTAACTTGGCCCTACGACGTCGTTTAGGGAATTCGTTGGAGACTTTGCCACTTTAGCCTTTCTCTTTTTTCCCTTCCATTAACTAGGAGAGTCCATGCCAAGGAACTCTAGCATAGTGGGGTGGTTGTGGCATGTGCAAGTTAATCCCACCTAAAGATGAGCCCATGATCAACATTAAAGAAAGAAAAACAAAAAAGAATATTACAATAGATAGGGCTGCAAATGAACCGAGCGTTCAACGAGCTACTCATGGCTCAGCTCGATAAGGGCTCGTTCATGTTCGTTTGATAAGGTAAACAAACAAGTTTGAACTCTCTTGATAAATACTCGATAGCTAAATGAACGAGCTTGAACAACGTGTCGTTCAGTTCATTTATGTTCAAGAACAGTCTCTCTTAGAAGCTCGTGAACAAGCACGATTAGAGCTCAATTAGAATTTTAAAAATATATTCTATTAAATATACTCATTTAATAATTTATATTTACTAATTTAATTTTTAAATTTTTAACTATTTTCATTAGACATATTTTTAACTTACATTTTTTTACTAATCTAACTAACTAGAAATATTTTTATTAAATCATCTACTAAAAATTTTATTAAACTCCCGCCTAAATATCAATTCCTACTCATAAAAAAAAAATTGTTTTTAAATTCTCGCCGGACCCGCCCGCCCTTTCTCTATCCTCCGTGGCATCAACAAACTCAAAAACAAAATGTTGTTAGCGTTTAGTCCCACACCGACTGGAATGAAATACTTTTGTCGTATAAAAACAAAGACATCTAAAGGCAAAGTACAGAACTGCGGGAAGCTGGCGGGTTGGGCGGATTTTCCTGGTCTGGACGTTGTGCTACTTGGTTTGATGTTAATTATTTAAAAATATTTTGTAGATTGTGGTCCGCTCGTCCTCGGTATAAACGAGCCGCTCGATAAGATGCTCGCCGAGCATGAAATTAAACGAGCTCAAATTTGAACACGATCTGAGCACGAACGTAGTCATTTTAAACGAGCCCGAGCTCGAACACCTGTCCAAGAAGCTCAACAAGCTTCAAGCCGAGCTTGAACACAGTTTTGACAAACGAGCTTGAACTCGAGCAGGCTAAAGCTCGGCTCGGCTCAGTTCATTTGCAGCACTAACAATAGAGACGAATAACATACTATAAAATGTGTTCTACACAATTTGGGAGTTCACATGCTCCCGAATAAGTCGACAAAATGCTTGGAACTCCTCTTGAGATTACAGATGACAGTCTTATCATTGGCAACGGGAATGGGATTAGTTAGCACCGCCCATCCTATTCACAACTTCACAAATAAAACTTGTTTTTCACTCCCTCATCGTATTTGTCAAGCAACTCATCCTTATGTGGGTGAAGGAGAACTGAATGTTGCTATTATTGAAGGCCTTAACAGTAAAAATATGGCAAAACATGGCGAGACTCCACCTAATCTTCACTCGGCACAAATGAGAGAGGACAATCACCACACTCGTTATCGAGTTCGACATATTCTTCATAGGCACTAACTCATAAAATTTTGGGATCTTGGCAAGTTCTGGGTAAAGAGGAAGCTGTAGGTCGAGCTAGAAATGGTCACAAGGGAAGCATAACTCATCCTTATACAACATATTAAGGTGCTTGTCCTTTGTGAGAACTCAAACTATCATGTCAAGAGTCCTCGTAGTAGTATCCAAAAATATCATATAAATGAATATCTCTCTAGCTCAATAGACTTGACAGTACTCAAACTCGATGAAAGTCCTATGGCATATTCTCAATGCTTCCATCTCATAAGACAACACACACACCATGAAAGGAAGAGAGAACTAATATAGAGTATCCAATAAGATAAGATGAAACTCGAGCGACTAATTATGGAGATTTCAAGTTCTCATATACAAGCTAGTCGACCACTGAGTTAGGGCCAGCTCCTCATATTCATTTGGTGGTGACTTAAAAACTCGCTTTAAGTAAGGTGAATCCTGTGAACGCTCGAGATCGACAACATGCGACCAGTAGACATAATTTTCACAAAAATAGAAGGAATCTTTTATCTCCATTGGTTGATTGCGGTCGACCAACTTCCTCAGCATGGGGTTGTGGCTACCTGCCGGCTCCCCCTAAGAGCGAGTTGGCGTTGTTGCTCCAACTGCATTGGGGGTAGAGATCGCCACCTCAGGAATGCCATTCACCCTGCCGAGGACCTGACAAAATCCCTTGAATGCGGAGACTCGTATAATGTGCCTTTCAGCAAGGCGTACATCATTGACCTTCACCTTACTTGGCTAGCCCTTTCGTTGCCTTTCTGGGCTCAACCACTATGGCTTTCGTTTCCTTCTTCTCAATAACTTGGTAGGACTTTCGCCTTTTGACCTCCACTGTCTTACATTTGCGAAGAAGAGCCTTTTCAACAAATTTTTCGATTGTCTACATCAACATGCTTTGTTAGGCTCAACTCAATTATCTCTTGTGCAAGCTCAAAAAACTCAATCATGACAAAAGAAAGGAAGGAGTGTGGCCCTATTAATACCCTTTGTCGTTATTTATTACCAGAGATGGTATAGAGGTTAAATCTTCATGAGAATATTGGATGAAGGTGCTCTTCTTGAGGATATAAAAGTTGTCCATTCACTTTCTCTTTGTTGTTTGATAAATATTTTCCTTCTTAATTCCTCTGTTCTTTTTCACAAGTTGCTCTTCAACAGAGCAAGTGAATCGGGAAACTAAATGTATGTCTACACATGCTGATATAGGTAACTTGCAGGTACCCCAAACAAGTTCACACCTAAGGGACACGGCCATGAGGAACAGTCGCTCAAAACAAGCCTAACCCAAAAGGGCAGTCAATAGAACTGAGTCGTGGATAAGCAGTTATTCATCTTAGTGGAGTTTGCAGCATGTTAGCACACCCCTAGAGGATTAGATCAAGGATTCACATATTCCTGGCGAGTTCAACTAAAGGACTTTTCTCAACAAGCCTTTAACCTAAGAGGCACTCACCGAAGGAGGACTGGACTTTCTCAGCAATTTTTCTCATCTAAAGTAGTTTGTCTTCCACAGATATCCTAGTTCAAGCTACAGGAGGCACGCAGCTACTGAGCTAATGATCATGGCTCCATCGACTATGTAAATATTCGACTCACAACCACACTTGTGTAGGAAACTCGCCACTCATTTAAGGAATTTGCTTGCACAAAGCACTCATTCCTAAAGACTCGCACAATGTGCTCACTCCCGAAGGCTCACCTAAGGTGCTCAGCTTTGATAACTCACCCTTGGAACTCGTCATGGGCATCCCAAGCCAGGTTAGAGGGAGATGACATGTGTTACCTTTCGGCCAAGTTCATGTGTTTGAGTTAGTTTGCACTTGTCAAACATGTATTATTTTTTTTATTTTTTTCTAGGATAGCCTTTCCTAAATCCCTCATAACCCCATAAATAAGGAGTTAAGAGACATTTTGGACTTCATAAAATTTTAATTGTTCACAAAGATTACATAGCTTCTCGTCTACTCTCCCTGCTCGATGATTTTTATTGCTCAGAGATCACTTGGCTTATCATCTACTCTCCATACTCGATGATTCCCTCGTATTGACCTCTTGCTCTGGCTAGCTAAACCTGCTAGTAAGATCAGGCGCCGCACACGAATAAATTTGGATACAACAAAAATCATGCTAATGAATTATTTAATGAAAAAATAGAAGTCATTCAGATTATTTTGTTGGATGAACAACTTAATTTTTGTTGGTGCTACTATTAGGCATTCAATTGAAAGATTTAGCATGCTCACCAAATGTTTATACTCTCTTACTGAATTGCACCCTTTCACACACACGAGTGACAAAAGATAAAATATCTCAATTAAGATAATCAAACAAAGTTTAATACAACAGGCCATAATGGCTCTTTCCATGAACAATAGATATAGGTTTAATTTTTAAATATTACCGATGAGATTTAATTTCAACCTCCTACTATATTTCAGATTTACCAAAAGAATTGATTAGCATTTTATGTAGTAGTTAAACAGCTGAAAAGAAATCATACCTGATTTAAAATTCAGGTAAGTTGCATCCAAACAAAATACTTTGCAAAGACCAAATTAGTGTAGTACACCTGTATATATGACCAAATACAGGAAATAAGGAAGAATAAAATGCTAGCATGTACGTTTTTTCAATTAAAAAAAAGTGGAGCATTGGACACATAGTTCCATTAAAAAAAGCGAATGTTCCAGGAAATAAACTTCAAACAGAATAAAAATGCAGCTAGAACAAGTAATAAAGAAGTTTAACACATTATGAGTATATAAAGCAGTTCCCTTGTGACGTGGACATGTGTGCAAAGATGCCATATTAAACAGTTGCAGAAATAACTGTATAATGAAAATGATTATTAAAAGCTTGCAAGACGACCTTTAATGAGGTCTGGGCAATGTACATGCATAGTAAATATATTAATACCCACTTAGATATTATGCAAATGTGAAATAAAGTATACCCTAAATATCAAACAGACGTTTAAGGATTTGAAGTCACATATCTCAATGCTAATAGTCACATACCTGAACAACAAATTAAGAGAAATGAGTCTCAAATCAACATTCAGGGAAAAAAACGCAGTGGAATATTAACTCTCTATAATTAATAGGGATTTTTACATACCTAACACTTAAAACATCTCTATTTACTTATCTAACACCTAAACTTTAGTATTTACCCTTCTACCACCTAAAAGCCCTATCCCTCATCAAATATACCATTATGTTTCTATCCCGTCAAAACCTAATCCCGAAAGTTGTATTTCGCACAAGAATCATCTTCTCCAGCTTGTGCGAATACATCCGAACAGAGCAGCTCCTTTTCTTACATTTGAATCCCATCGTCTTTCCCATTTCGTGCAAAGCTCCAGCCCAGTCAATATTTCGTTGGTTCCAACCTTCAAATTGAAATAGAGGCTGAAGCAGCTAAAAGCCATCTCAGAAGAACGTCAAACATATGAAGTAACCGCAAGCAAACAAGAGGATAATCGATTGAGTGATCAAACAAATTGCAAAAAAACTTGCTTGTGCTAGATTTGTTTTCCTTTATACATTTTTCATTTCAAAACTTGAGGAGAAAATGTTTAGAGAAAGAAATGGAGACTTGTTTCGAATGAAGCATAATTAGATTCAGAATCTAGTATACTAATTTCAGGAAAGCAACTTTTGAGCGGCGTGGAGAAGACGATCGGAGATGGGAGTTGCTCGATCGGTCGTCGGATGGAGAAACGATCGTCGTGGGCTGCGTGGAGAAGATGGCCGGCGTCGGCAGTGTGGTGCACATGGCAAAGAAGAGCCGGCCGAGCGAGGATGAGGCAATAACGAAGCAAACGTGTGTGAAATACAGTTTTTGGGTTTGGTTTTGACAGGAGAGAAACGGAGTGGTATATTTGATGATGGATAGGACTTTTAGGTGGTAGAAGGGTAAATACTAAAGTTTAGATGTTAAATGAGTAAATATATAAGTTTTAAGTGTTAGATATGTAAAAATCCCTAATTAATATTGCCACCAGATGCCACCAATTCCAATCTAACAGAAGTCACTCCACACAACAGGGGGAACAATCACACAAGAAAGTCAAGATAAAGAAGGAAAAAGCATAAGCATAAGTAGACATGTGTGATATGAAAGCTAGATAGTTGGTTCTTATGGGTTTTTTTAACATTCTTTCAGGATTTATGCTTGGCTCAATTTGTATATGTATCGACCTTCTTTGAAGATTTTATTTCCTTTGAAGATTTTTTTTTTTTTCCTTTGAAGATGTATCGACCTTCTGGTGCATGCATGTATGGCTGCTGTTGCAGGCTTGTCTTTCTAAGTGCCATAAACATGTTTGTTTGGGACATGGGTTCTTTTTTTTAAAAAAAAAAATTAGTTGGCCAGGAGGCACATAAAACATCTTGCCAAACTCTAAGAAGAATTTTCTTTGCTACATGATGAAATGGTATGTCTAGAATCTAGTGCTTTCTAATGTAACTATATAATATGATAGATGAAATCATGCAAATATAATCAAAATTCACAATTCATAAAACATGAATTTCAAAACAATATTAGTCTCTTTTGAAGAAAATTATAAAACAAATAAATTTATACAAATGATAATTTTATGGTTGCCTAAACAGAGATAAGCATAACAATTCAGAATAAATGAAAATTACACGTCATTTGAAAATCATTCAACAATAAAAAAATCAAATTGTAGGAGTTCTCACAAAATCCAATCATGCATGCAGAACAATAATTCAAATAAAAAATAGAAAAAATGAATAAAATAAACCACCAAAATTGCAATCCAAGTCTCCACCCAATACAAGATGGCTTCCCTTGGATTTTGGTGGTCATAAATTACACATTGCTAGAAAGATTCACATCAAAAGAACACTAAGCACAAATAGGAAACAAAATATTCAAAGAAAAAGACTACTACAACTTGCCCTTTTACATGCCTCTAAGTATCCTTTATTCATAATCACATCCCTTTCGAAATAAAAATAATATCATAAAAATCGGTACTGCAATTCAATCCTAGAACCCTAAAATGCCACTACATGAAAATTCCATATTTGAAGAGAACTAATGGCTTACTAATAAATGAAGACGCTAACAACAGGCCCACAAATAATTATGGAATCTAGTCTACTATGTGAATTGTAGAATCAGGGTAAAGTTTCAGTTAGTGTTAACATCGGGTCAAATTCACGGGAGTTAGACTGGATTTAAACTTCAAATTAATAAATTCAGGTCGATAAATCGAATAATGAATTATAATTGAAAACATTCCCTTCTTTAATTCTCTCCCCTCTCACCACCATCTTCCAATTCAGAAACAATAGCATAAATATATCACAATAGCAAATTATTGCTACAATACCATAAATTTGCAACAACATATGGTACCATAAGGGCATGATTACCAATCTTTATAATAATTTCTCTTCACCTTCCTCATCACAATTGGCGTTATTCTCTAAAATTCAAGAATAAAATTATAACCAAAGTCAAATTCAAGAAAGAAAGGGAAGAAATCAAAGACCATCATCAAAGTTGTAATAAATTACTTTTACATTAACGTCACAGGAGGAGCAAGTACATTATTTTTTTGTAAGGTTAAAAGTACGGCATGTTATAAGTAAGCTAACGGGACAAGTAAAACTTGATTTGAAGAAAAGATAATATGCATGAGTGATGATAATAATTTAATTTGACAAAAATAATCACAAACTGACAAAGAGTGAAATATGAAAAATGTCTCATTGGAAATCAACAATGTTGCTGAAAAGAGGAGAGTACTCCAATTGGTGAATTTCTCCATGCAACCAAACATCACATCGAATGATAATTTTGGTTCAAATTCCAATTTTCCATTTAGCTCTCCTAATAACCTAACTTTCAAAAGTAAACACTTCTCACCTTCATTTCACCATCTTATCTCGAGGAAGTTATGTTATTTGATTATTTCATTTGCTCTTTAAGATATATATTCATTATCCATAACTACTACATATTGTATCTCACGCTTTCTCTTAGAACCACCTTATAATTTTAACAAATAAGTTTTGTTTTCCTTTCTTATAAAAGTGGTCTATATTTGGCTTGGTAGCTATACTTTAAAAATTAATCAAGTGCTCCTCTCCTTTCTCAAAGCATGTATTTGCTATTGCAAGATCATGCACCACTGCAAAATCAAATATAACTTTGCCCATCATATTCATATCCAAAACTTCATAGCTACCATGAATTCTCTTATTACCCAATCTAATGGAGAAATATGCATCAGGGTCTTCCTTCGATATAAAAAATCATCCAAAAGCGTCAGGGCCTTCGATATAAAAAATCATCCAAAAGTCGGTTCCACATGTCAGAATGAAGAAAAGAATTTGCTAAGAAAACTAAAATGATACAAAATTATTATGCTTCACCGTGAGCAAAATTATTATGCCACAAAATCTACAAAATTTTCATTACTCTTATCTCAAAAACTGGTAAAGTAACAGGATCATTTTTCTTATATAAGAAATACGAAGTCAAATGGTAGAAAAGGTAAGTCATTCATTCAAGGTAGGGCATGTTCCAGCCAGCAATGGAGACTCACCTGTGCTGTTTTCTGCAAGCTCATTCAGATCTCACGTACTAATTTGTAAAAATGTGCTGAGAAGAAAACAGTAATGTAGCTTAAGGAAATTAAAACCAGATGTCAATTGTAAAGTTGTCTAGCTTCCAAATGAGAATAATGGGGCTTTCCACATATCCTTCTTCTATAGCTGACCACAGTGACATAGCCTGATCATGAAATGCTGGGCATGGGAGCTTCGTTTTGAGATATCTCAGTTGGTCTGGCCACATAACTTCCTCTAACAACTCGGTTATAAATGCACTTAAATGACTGTGAACCATATGGCTTATTGAGCAAACTAATAGGCAATCTTAGAGATTGCTTTCTACGGTTTCTTCCTTTAACGAATATGCTGAAGCTACCATCACGCTCATATTTTTTATTACTCTGCTTCTCACTGATAGAATCAGCATGTTCTTTCAAAGATACCGTAGGCTTTGGCTCTGTTTGAGTGTCAGAAGGCCCATGAGTTTCCACAGATTCTTGTTTCACTGCTTCTAAATCCTGTGGGACCATAATCTCACTCTGCGGAACAGATGCTTCACCTAGTTCTTTCTGGGATGTTTCTCCAACATTGCTGTCCCCCTGAGGTGACGATTTAATATTAGCATTATCAGATTGATTAATTATTTCTAATGTGGCATCAGAAATAGGATTGGCAACAGTTGATGTAACAGAGAATTCCACAGGATGACAGCCAGGCAATATAGTTCCTGGCATGAACTCAGATGCACTTGGATTCATATTACAGTGCCAAGAAAAATGGTTTGGATGAAACACATTACTGTTCATACCAAATGTGCTGCTTGGTATAGGTTGAGGTTGACTATATGGTGGACTATATGGAGGATAAATAAATGACAAAGGAGGTATGATACTAGGGGGACGAGGAGCTGGATGATAATAGGGGTGATGAGAACCACAAATAGCAGGCGCTGTAGGCATGATAGAGGGTGGCCCTGGATGAAGGGTGGAATTCAAAGGCCATGGTGCGACAGCTGCAATGGGACTGGAGGGGAGGCTAACATTCATAGGAATAGGACTTAGCACAATTGTGGGAGATGGGTTGAAGGGTGCTGCAGCGGCAGACAAGGCAGACATTTTCTTGTTAGGCTCTCTTACTTCACCTATATCCAATAACAACCTTCCCTTGTCATCATAACTATCAGCATTGCTTGGAGGATTAACATTTTGAAGACCCTCGTGAAAACTAGCATTCACATTTGGCTCAATGCTACTAGATAGCACATCCATGAGACATTTTTCTGTTGACTCATCAGAAACTGAGACCTCAGATATTTCACAATTATCAACATCAGAAGATGCGCTATCAACATTGTGATCACTCCTGCAAATCTCCTCATGAATTGCGTCACTGGAAATAATAGAGTCTGGAACAATCTCACTGAGCATACCCCCAAATGAAGCCACTTCTACGTCTGAAGAAAAAAATGCAGAGTTGCTTTCTCTGTCGCCATTGTTCAGGGATTTTTCTTCTTTATACGTATCTTCCACCTCATTCTCTAAGGTAAACAATGGATATGGAGTACTCTCATCTTTCTCTTCGGTGAGGCTTTCGGAATTAATTGGGGTACTACCAAGTACTGAGTTGTGCGGGTCTTCTTTCTCTTGGCTTATGTTTGTCAAATCAACTGGTACATGGGACTCTTCTACAGAATTCTCTGTCAATAATAACTCATTGACCTCTGGTTCATCTTCTCTTGTTGGCGACTTCTGATTAAGGTCTTTGGACTTTGGATCCTTCCAGATCTGAATTTTAGCTATTGTTCCTGGGGGTGCCAAAGCCACATCCTTATAGGATGGAGAGGTTCCAAGGCTAACAATCACATTATTCTGTGACTCTAAAACCTCACTCATCAAATTCCTCTGACCATTCATATCAACCGATAACAAATTATTATCATTGTCTACCAGTGATTTTGTTTTCTCATTGCGAAATTTAGCAATATTTGCTGTCTCGTTGATGCTAGATGATGCTGACTTTATTCTATATGCCACGGTCTTGTATATCTTACGACCAAATCTAGTACCCGGTGATTGAGTTTTTGAGTGGTAATAATCAGCATAACTACTAGGGACTACAGTTCTCTTCTTTAATACATAATAGCGGCTACTAGAATAAGAATATCTTGGTTTGGTTTGAGCGGGTTCAATTGGAGCATCTCTTTGATAGTTATTTGATATCCCATTAACTGGTGCACGTTGTTTGAGTCTCTGTCTGCCTGATGCTACTGACCTTGGAACAGGTTGCCAACCTTCTTCCACATCCATACTTTCTTCTGTTTGAATTTTATTAGCAGCGTCATGTTGCTCCTCAGAAGCTACTTCAGACTGCCTGACAGCTTTAATGTCCTTTTCCAACACCGAACAATCATGTTCATGCTCAAAACATACAGAATGAGCCTGTTTCTCAGGGTCTCTATCTAGGAGTTCGTTTACTAGCTCTACTTCATCTTTATTTGTTGACTCAGAAGTTACATAAGATCCATCCAAATCAGGTGAATTCAAGTTCTGGGAGGACCGGTTTTTCACCTAAATTAAAAAAAAAAAAGGGCATTAACTTCATATTAATAAAATTGATTGTTGACCACTGATACTTCCAAGCATCCTGAGTTCTTGACTACTTGAGTTAACTTTTCCATCGGACTTATAACATCATATCCACTTTATTTACACTACTACTGAAATAAGCTTCTAGAATTATTAAAAGTTTTATTGAATAATTTCTGACAATTCTTTTAACCAAATGAATCAGTTACCTTCCAACTGAGGCTTCTCTTCCTTATGGACTCAGCATCCCTTCCCCTGATTTCTTGACTTGGATTTATATAATCAAGCAGGTCAGATACACTGCCAAAGAGAAAATTGTAAGTTGTAGAATGACGAAGCACAAACAAATAAGTACAGCAGTAAGTCGATCACATCTGTTGGCTCAAACTACATAAAAAATGTTGGCTATGAGAAACTAAGTATGCATCATCTAATCGATAAAGACTGTGAATGTTCTGTATGAACCTTAGGTGGCCTTTACTGGCAATAGATGCATCTGGTTTCTTGGTGCCATTGCGTGCAGCTTCTTGTTGCTCAAATGCCTTGGACTCAAAGTACTCAAGCCAGGCAGCAGTATCCTACAGAAGACAGTGATAGCAATTTCCGAAGAAATTCACCAATGGGAAACAAAATTTATCTATTATCAGCTTTCATAAGTCGATTTAAATGGGAGTTACCTGAGTTCGTAAGTCATCAGGTCCAAGTTTTGCTCGAAGAATTTGCAAGGTTGTTTGTTCATGCTGAACACTCAGTTGATATGCTTCCATTAGGGAGAGTGCAATGGCTATAGCATGGTAACTTGCTGCCGTCTGATGAAACAAATGAGAAATTTTAAGAAACTTCAATAAAACAACAACACACAGAAAAGAGAAAAAATATCCCAAACAGTTGATAACATAGACTAGCATCAGTACTCCATGTATGATTGAAGCCTGGCTATAGTATTGATTTATGCCTTAAGTTGCTTAAGGAACTTAAAGCTTAAACCAGTAAGAGAATTGTGAATTTGTCCCACCTGTAGGGATTTGAATTCTCCAAAAAAGGATTAGAAAATTAAGGAAAGGGTAAACATAATTACAACAGTGAGCTCAATTGTGAATCTTGTAAAATGAAACATGAAACAGTAGCCAAAAAATTGAGATTAAGATTTGCAGGATACCTGAATATGATCAGGACCAAGTAACCTCTGGTTGCATTTTAAAGCTTTATGGAGATATCTAAGTGCGACATGCACATTTCCTAGGCCTTCTTCCATCATTGCAACATTGATATATGTAGCAGCTGTGTTTGGGTGAGAAGAGCCACAAGTGAGATGAAGAAGATACAACGCACGCTTCACATACCTGGTTATCAAAAATCTAGCTTTTGAGAACTACATAGACTTGTCTGACGGAATCTTGAAGATGGTTACTTAAATGCATAGCTCATAGGATTAACAAATAATATATGAACAAGATGTTACCAACAAAAAAATTAGGAATATTTAATCACAAAAGTCCATCACATATGAAAAACCATCCAAGGATAAGCATGCCGACTGCAATGATAGTTGGATGAAAAGCACAGTAAATAAAGGCAAATGAATCAAAAGATATCTTAAAAAATAGAAACTTCATCCGATGACTTAACTCTGAAACATATGCATAGAATGCCTTTTTAATCCCAAAAACAAAAAAAATTCCTCGGATTGAAATGTAGAGAAAGCCAACAGAATTATCACATAAATGCATGTTTGAAGAATAGAAAGATATCAAGCACAAAATACAAGATTTAAGAGTGACTAACTGAAAGACAATGATTTTTATGATTTTCAACTACTGCTCAAAGATGCATGAAGTTCCCGCTTTGAAAATTCCTGCAAGTTTCTACCTTTAATTCTCACCCCCTTTTTAAATTGAAAGGTCTAATGGAAAATAAATCACCATGTTTTGGCCCCAAAGTAAAAAAAAAAATACTTAAAGAAAGAATAGGCAGTGTGCATATATGCAACCAGAGAATGAAGGCAACTTGTTTAAAGCAACAAAAAGCAGTTGCACCTCAGGAAAAAGTTCGGCTCATGGGAGGCGGTAAACGTTTTGGATAGCTAAGTTTGATTTTATTATTATTATTTTAAGAAGCCTTTGTAAGCACTGAAGAGGTATGAACAGCAACATGGCTGATCATATAATGCAAGACCTGTTTTCTCAGGGAAGCGTTAATAATAAACAAAGAAATTAAAATATCTACTTATATATCATCCAAAAGCATGAACTGGACTTTCTTAAGAAGATATGCAATTAGCAAAAGTCCAATAGAAAATTGGTTTTTTTTTTTTTTTTTTTTTTTGAGAACTCATTTTGATATAGTTGAAGATAAAGGAAATTAGATAATTGGGAAAAGTTAATTATGTATAAGACACAAGGAAAGGAACTTACTTCAGAGCCAGTTCTGTATGCTGAAGCCTATAATAGAAAACAGCCAAGTCACCATAACTCTTCATCGTATCAGGGTGATCCAATCCTAGCTCTCTCTCATTAATATCCAATGCCTTTTGTTGATAAATTGTGGCCTAACAGTAAAAGAAACTCTAATAGTAACTCTCATCACAGAAAGTAAGAATCACAAAACTTAAAGTATAAAAGAATGTGGAGAATAGTTAAGAAGATGGAGGCATAAAATTAGAAGAAAAATAATTGCGCATGTGATATAAATTACAAGATGATCAATCGAAGATAAAGTCATACGTAAACCCGATTAGATATATTGAATTATATTATACATAAAAATGGAGGTAATAGAAGAGGAACAAGCTAATGGGACTCGAATTACTTTTTAAAAATGGACAGAAAACTCAGGGTGCTCTGTACTACGAGGTTATCATGATGACAAGAAGGAAAACTTTACAGTGGACAGTAAAATCAGCATGCTGCATCAATGAAGTTGTCAAAAAAGCAATAAGAAAGGTTACAAATTAAAGAGATACGCACGTGGAAACAGCAGTTAAGAAGGATAACGCAGTCAGGAATTGAAGAGATGATTTTGACATGCAAGCAGAGGCCCAACTAATGTTATGGACAAATTTTGTGCAGATAGTTTAGAAAGGAAAAGATTTAAACCAAACTTAGTAGGTTTGAAGTTGTTCAAAAAAAAAAACCTAATAAGGTTCAACAAAAGTATAAGAAAATCATGAATCTCCTACCATGTTTTAAGTTAATGCCCTTGCCTATACCTTATCACCATCTAAGTTTTTACTGAGACCATTACTACCTATAGTTTCGGGATTGTCAACCTAAAAGCCAATACAAGAATTTGTGCTTCTTCAAAACAATTGATGAAGACACTGGTAGATGGCAGATACATCCTTATCACCTAATAGTAATTTTTTGTTTCTACCTGATTGAAGTCACCAGTATGGTAGAGAACAACAGCAAGAAGACTGTAAGCTCCAGCTGTCATCCGATGGTATGGACCACACACTGCTATCAACTTTGCCAATGCCTGCAATAATGTACACTATGAATAAGAAAAAAAAATACAAAGTAAAAAAAGAAGTTTGATTATTGAGTTAATAAATGCCTTTGTTCCATAGCTGACAGCATCTTCAAGTTTGCCCTTATCAAGAGCTGTTTTTGATGATTCCAATAGCTGACGCCCATCTGCCGATGAGCATGCAACTTGCTGCAAAGAATAATTAAATGAGAGTTATTTTTCAATGCAAAATTTAAAATCAGAACTCCAAAATAAGTACAAATTCTCATTACCTTATGCACGGGTACCAAACTAATTATATCTAATTTGTTAAAGGGCAAAGAATAATTGATGTCAAAGTCTCGGGGTGCAACTTCAATGCCCACCTAAACAAAGAGAAGTTACTACAGATTAGGTAGTGATGACAGATGTACCATCCAATCCAAACAAGGCAGCGGAATTCTTTACCTTATGGCATAACCCCCTTAAAATAGCATACTTCCTCACATCATGATAATTTGCTGCAGTAAGTTCCCATCCATATCTTTTCTTCAAGAACACCTCCAACCATTTCCAAACAGTAGGATGAACTTCAGGAGCATGAACCATATTCCCAGTTTCGGGAATGCCAAGAAGCAAGTTAAGAGTTGCAGCTATCAACAAAGCCAAGTCCCCAGTTTCTGAAGCAGCGGCAATTACAGCTCGCAAAATGTGCTTGAAAGCTCTTACAATCATCTCGTGAATACAAAGAGATTGCACATGTGACAGTTTCTCTGACAGCTTTACCTGAAAAAGGCAAAGAAATAAGGAAGTTAAATTTACAGTGTTTACATGAAATATTTTGGGAAGTAAGATTAGCAAAATTATTTATATTGATTTTATCATGCAAAAAAAGGGAAAAAGAAAATGCTATACCTATTGAGGTTAAAATTGGGATGGTGCCAAGGGTACTATGTAACAAGAGAATAACTTAGATGCTAAGGTGGAAAATGCTTTAAAATAACAATAACTTCATATATAAGATATGGATGGAAGTGTCGAGCAATTAAAAAAAAGTTACTAATAATCACTTCAATATATGAAATATGAGACTTAAGTTGAATGGGTGGAAAATCTAGGAAAGATAGCTGAAATTGATTATATTGGAATGAGCAGGAAGTAGTGCTAGTGAAGACTGAGTTATAGAAAATAGAATTAGGTGGTTTGGGAAAGCATAATGGAAAGCAAAAAAGCACAAACAAGGCCTGGAGAGAAAATTAAGAGAGAAAGGAATTGAAACGAACAAAGGTAGGCCAAATCTAACATGTTATAATAAGGAATTGCAAAGAAAGATTTAAAGCTGAAGTTGGGTTAAGAAAAATCGTGGCGATAATGATCAAGGAGGAAACCTTTACATTAGCAAATAGAAAATTCTTGCTCAGGCTCTAAATTTCAGAAAAATAACTAATTGTTTTACTAAAATTAAAAAACTTGCTGAATTAATTCAAAAGTAGACAAAGGAAAAATGTGCAGTACTGCCAACAATAGTTCTCACTTTTCCATCCAGAAATAGTGTAATAACACTATTGCATCTCAACCTTAGAAAAAAAATTTATAAGACAGTTAACAATCTGATTTCAATCCAATGACCTTGGATCAAGATCTACTCAAAATTATTTGATCTGATCTTCAGCAAACTAAGTTTGGTTCTAGCCCGGCTCGATCCAGTGTAGATATGACCATAAAACTAATTTTATTTGATCAATTTTCAATATCTAAGACAAATTCTCAGTTCAGCATGTATAAAATCATAGACATAAAAGCATAGATGCATAGATACATTAACTCAAATATAAATACTATAAAAAAATGTGCATGTTAATTCATACATGCACGTATATAACTTTTTATCCAACCTCAAGCTAGCTCAATCCGATCCAGGCTTCAATCAATTCAAGTTCAATTTAAGATGGGCATAACTTATTAATCATCTCATTAATTTTAATCCAAGCTAAAAGTTTTTATTTTTTTTATTTTTTATTTTAGAGTGATCTTCGAAAACACTGTCGTTGCCAGGTCCCAAGTCTTGGATGAGAAAAGTGGAGAGTTGCGTTAGGTAGTCGACAGCCAGCGTAAAACTTGTCGAATAATCATGACACGAATCCTTTAAAAAATTGTGTTAATGCTGGGGCGTCCCCTGGAAGCGACGCGCTGTATGGCCTGAATACAGTGACAAGTGTGCAAAGGCCGCTGCATCAGCGCCCGGGTGTAGTGTTAAATAGGCAAGGGTTCCCACATCAAGGACGGATGTGGGCAAAGAAGCTAGTCCATGAAACTAAAATTAGGATAGGAACTTGGAATATAGGTTCCCTTACAGGAAAATTAATGGAATTAATAGATATTATGATTCATATGAAGATAAATATTCTGTGCATTCAGGAAACTAAGTGGGTTGGAGAGAAGGCTAAGGAAATTGATAGTTTAGGATTTAAACTATGGTATTCAGGTAGGAGTCATACTAGAAATGGTGATTATTCAAGACGATATAGAGCTTTTTTGAATCTCACACTTTAAATCCTGTGAAAGGCAAGCAAAATCTAAGTGGAGGATTTATATAAAAACTTCTTCAACAATATCATATAAGAAAGTGTTCTCATCATACTGTTCCATGGATCAGCTAGAGAGATTAGGATGCAAATTGTGTTCAATTTTGCAAAATGAGTAAATGTTTGTTAATAGTCAATTTCATATGATTGAATATATCATTTGGGTACTAACCTCATTTTGTATCATTTTAGGCTTCTATCTATCTTACATTTTAATGAAAAGATGCGGAATTTAGGAAAACCCCTATTTTTTTGCAAGCAAATGACACACGCTTCCTAGGATAAAGAAAGTACACCAAATTCTTAAAAAGACGACAAACTACAATTTATACGATAAACAACAAACTTTTTAAATAAAACATGACACTTACAACAAAGGACGCTTACAAACGACACTTACAAACCTTTAAATAAAAGCTCCTAAAGTTGCATTTCTTGAATGAGAAGAACGGTACTGATGGGGTGGATACTTGCGGGAAGAAGAATGAGATTAGAAGCCAAGACGAAGAGCGGAGAAGCTCGCAAGCCTTCCCAAGAAGTAGAAGAAGAAGAAGTGGAACAAGCTCTCAAGCTTTTCCAAAAAGCCATAAATTTTCATGTCCAAAAATCACATTATATCCACCTTAAAAAACTCTCAAAACATGTACTATATATAGGAGGAAAGGTTTGAAGTAATCCCAAAATAGCACCCAAAAAGACAGCACAGGAACCAGGTAGAGGCAGCCACAGGAAAGCAGCCAGGGAGCAATCCTAAAAGGCAGCTCGGGAACCGGAAAGAGGCAACCACGGGAAAGAAGCCAGGGAGCAATCCGAAAAGGCAGCACAGTAACCGGGTAGAGGCAGCCACGGGAAAGCAGCCAGGGAGCAATCCGAAAAGGCAGCACAGGAAGAAACCGAGGAGACACAAAGAAGGGGAAGAGGCAAGGTTCCAAACTCCACATAATTAGCAACCAAGTGCAATAACTTCACAAAATAATGAGCTAAAACATCAGCTCAAGCATTAATGAGCTAAAACCAAGTAGTTCCCAAGACTTTAGCTCAAAACCAAAGTAGCCAAAGCTCAACCCGAGAGCAACAAGCAGCCCAAAGACCAAAAGAACCCAAGTTGTTTAGACCCCCCCTGCTTACATCAACTTGCATCATACAAGTTATTTTCTTTTGGTAGCTCAACAATCTCTCAAGTGAAATTTCTTCCAAGGCATTAATCTCCTCTCTCATGGCATCATTCAAATTCATATTTTCTAATGCCTCAAATAAGGTTTGTAGAATTTTAATAAAGTGATGTTTACAAGGAAGACTTTATGCATAAAAGAAAACTTTTGAAAGGATATGCATTGGGTTATAGGGTAACAATGAGATGTGTTGTAATGGGTTGGTCATTATTATTTGATGGTGGTTTCGAGTTTTGAGCTTGTTGAAGATTTTGGCTGGGCTTTGACCTCCTCATATAGGCCTAGTGATGAGAATTTGCATAGCTGGAATATCAAGATGGAAGATGATAGTTTCATCAATCTTATCTTCTAATTGGTTGATTTCCCCCCAAAGATAAGATTTGAGTAAATGAACTTTGTTTTTCATTAAAGTGACATATTTCAAGTGAAGAATTTATTGGTAGTCAAATGCTAAAATTTATAACCTTTTTTGGGATAAGAAATACCCTAGAAAGAGACATAATTGAATGCTCTAGGATAAAGCTAACACTAGTGAAATTTGTGGATGTGAACATAAGCAACATAGCCGAAGATTATTTGAAGAAGCTTAGAGAATAAATGTTTGTAAGAAAGAATTCAGTAAGATTGTTTAGGTGACTTTTGAAACAATTCACTCTTGAGGGTATTCTATATATTAGATATGTGAAAATTAGGATAACTTTTCACATTATCTTTTGAGAATTTGATTTTAGAATAGAAGAGTACTGATGACTTTCAGAATGTGAAAATTTTTTATTTCTACCATCTCATTTTATTAGGCGTGTCAGAACATAAAAATTGATAAATAAGGCTTAATAATTGAGAAAATATAACAAAATATGATTAAAACAATCACATGCATTATCAATTTGAAATTTTTTGATATTAGCATCAAATTGATTTTTTTTATCATAGAAACAAAAAAAGTAAGAATAATGATGACATTAAATTTTTGTTTAATAAGATAAACCAAATCATTCGAATGCAATCTCCAATAAGAGTGGTAAATTCTATATCTTTAGAAATATTAGGGGCTTTGAAGGGTCCCCAAATATCATAATAAATTACTACAAGGAGTACAGGATCAAGATTTACTTTCACAACAAATAACTATAAGATGTTTTGCAATTTCACAAGTCTCACTATGAAAGTTTTCAATGCCAATATTTATAAAAAGAGAAGGAAATATATATCGTATAGTTTTGAAAGAGGTACATCTTAGTCTATAATAAAGTTACTAAATGAAATTAGTATTTGGAGTGCATATGATGAATTATGAAAGATGATTTTTGTCATCAAGAAGGTATAGCCCATTATTTTCGCAAATTCACGTTGAGGTTCTAAAATATACATAGAAGTGATCTTTGATGATTTTATATTATAGTGGTGGTCTCTGATGATTTGAAGAATAAATAAAAAATTAACTACAATGGGAGGAATGTGTAGTACATTGTTGAGGATAAAAATGGGATGAATAACAATATTCCCTTGATATGTAACAATTGTTACTGAGACATCAACTACTTTTATTTTCTCTTGTTGGGGCAAAGTTTGCAAGCTTGAGAAATATTGGCAAGGCTTGTGATATGCTCGTTGGATCCTAAATCTAGGATTTAGGTTAGAGAAGGATTATTTGATGCATTAAAAGTGCAACAATTAAAATTCATATCAATTTGAGCTAGAGAGCATGACTCAAATGACTATTTGAGGGAGTTAAGGAATTTCCTGATCTTGTCGATATCTTCTAAGTTGAGCGATTCTTGTTCCACAAGACAAACCTGCCCTTTTGAGCAGCCTTCGTCGTGTCCACCATAGTTTTGGGCATTCTGTGGAGTTCTTAATATTTTCTTTGACGTACCCATTTTTCTTACAGTAGTTGTACCATAAGTTGCTTTTTGGAGAAAGTTTTTTTTTTTTTGGGGAAGAGTCAGTAGCAACAAGTTCTTTACATAAGAGTTCTAAGATTGTCATAGTACATGTTTAGAGATGGGGTTGTCAAGCATAACCATCACTCTTCCTTCTTTAGTTCATATGAATGAAAATACCTCATTTAGAAATGGTAGGCTCTCTCTACTTATGATTTGAATATTAATTTGGTCAAATTCATTATTGAGTCTTGTAAGAAACTCAAGCACCATTTTTCTTTCTATAAATTGCTTGAGAATTATCGTATCATCGCTACACTTCATTTTGAGAATTAAACGAAAATACATTTAAAATATATTAGAATTGAAGAGTTTAAATATAAAGCTATTAATAATATTTAAAAATTATATCTCACTTTCCTATATCAAGTGATTCTTTATTATTTCTTTTCTAATTTTCATTCTTTTTATAATTTTATTATAATATCTGCTTGAATCATAATCTTTCTCTCCTTCATAAATAAACAAGCAAGATCGTGAGCTAACTCCATCTCATAGAATTAAGCTCAAAATCGAGCTCAAATTCGATTATTTAATCAAGCTCAAGCTCAAGCGATAGGCAACTCGAGCTCAACTCAACTTATTTACAACCTTAGTTCCTAGGGCTCCTATAATATCAACCTTGTGGTAAAGTGAGGCTCCTTAGAGTTATTATGCTACCTTTCTATTGTTGCACTATATGATTCCTATCATAACTACAACTTATTTGGGACTATTACTCCTCTTTGATTCCTATTTTATATGTAACTTACACATGTCTATAACTCACTATAAATTAGGTACTATTCTAACTCTTATCTACAATTGATGCCTATTAGGATTGTAGGTTGGCAACAGGTGGGCTATTAGAACAAAGCTATTGTATATCTAATTTTACTTGTTACAAGAAGCATTCTAAGGCATGTAAAAAGAACTTTAGCTTAAATAAAATTCATTTTTGTGGATGTGAGATATCATTATTTTTCAGGAATTCAATCATCGATCACACGTGCGACTTGAAACATTTCAGGAGAGACAATCACTTTGCTCAAGTGAAAAGCTTATTGTTTAGTTCATTATGTTCCTTCATGTTCGCTTTTTACCATAAATTAGTGATTAATTGATACAGTGATTGGTGTATTTTTCATATTTCTAGCATATAATTTCATTTCTATGCATAATACATTAATAAATGTGATTTTCCTTCTTTTTTTTTTTTGGTTAATTTTGTGTGCCCAAGATTTATTCTTGATCAATTTTTTACAATATTTGAACGAGATCTCTTATTTATTATAAATATTGGATTGAGATTTTAATAGATATGGTTAAATATTTAATATGGGCTATGAAATCTTTTGTTGACTTGAAGCGATCTTGTAAAATTTAATAATAAATTATGACTCCATATCACTATAAATAGAGCCTTAGAAGAAAGGATTTGGCATCCCACAATCATAAGCAAGTAAACAGAAATGGGAGAGTGAGGGGAGATGGTTTTTCCAGACAAGGAGTTTTTCAGATGGTTGCAGTAGGAATGGCTTTTATTTCTTCAAGAAGAATAAGTCAAATCCAGCTTCAATTCCTTAAAAAAGATAAGCTTTCGTCCATAGCATCAAGAAGCTCTAGTTTAAACTCTTGCAATAGATAATTGAAGATAATAACATGATCAACAACATATTCTTCTCCACGTCCAACCATCATTTTTATAGCAAGTGGTTGTGTTCGTTCAGTCACTGACATAGTGAAAGTGATATGAAAAGAAATCCTTGATGTGCCCATTTTCTAAGCTTACTAGAATATTGGATTTTTGTAAGATCGTGATCATATGTGAATTTTGCTGAACTACATAAAATTGTATGTCTTGTATTTGTCAATTGTGTTCGTTTTCTCATATTCATTTGATTTCAATTCAAAGTTTTATCACTATCCCAACATTTTATCTATTATAATTGATTTTATTAGGAGTCGCATGAAATTTAAATTTGTGTCATTTTATTCATCATATTTAGTAGTAATTAATTGTTTAGATTAGATAGTTTGCTTCACCCATGAGATTTGCATGTTTATTCTTGTATTTGTTGCATTAAATAGTTTGCATCTCATGAACAAAATCTACAAAAATAAAGATCACATAGCTTTTTATTTAATCAAGGGTTACTTTACCTAATAGATTTGCATTAGAAACCCTAGACCCTAGGTCGACTCACATCAAAAGGCATAAATGAGCATAATAAATAAACTTTTTGGAATAAATCTACACAACATATGATACATGTTACCTAGTTCATCCAAGCCTCCATCTATCCTGTCCCTCAAGCACAGGGAGTACAACTAACAGATTCTATATAACGTGAAATAATATCAATTGATGCTTCTACAACCAAAAATAACGATTGAACAGAATGCTCGCTTGTTCAGAAAATACAATGCTGTGAACATTCATAACTCCAAAAGTTGAGGTAGAAGATTTTTAGCCAAGGACAAATGTAAAAGATATTAAATATCCACCAATCTCACCAATAAAATTAAAAAAAATTGCACTTTCATCAAAAGTCCATGAACAATTTGACATCAGAGGGAGAAAAATGCCAATGAGTAAATATGAAAGCACAAGAAGGAAGCACTCATCTGCAATAAATTAGTAATTACTAAATAGAGTCAATAAAATATCCGTGCATGAAAGTGATATTTTTTACTTTTCAATGAAAGATCAACACTGTAGACAGAACACAACAAGCAGCCTAGAATATCATGATCTTTGCACATGTAATCTGATCAACGGCAACAGCTGCATTTGGAAGGAAGAAAAGCTAGTAGAAAACTTCATTATTTAACCGGGGACTACTGAAATTCCTTTCTGTGATTGAAATTTTTACTAACTTTTGGAATTGTAATTAAAAAATATTCATTTCAAAAAATCCAGGCATTTTTAGAATGCACGGCCTATTTGGTTTGACCTATTACAAAGAATGATGAAATTTATTAGAATATAAATTTTAGAATTAGAAAAACAAAATTATAAACTTGCAATTCAACCTATCATTTTGTGTGGAAATAAGAGTTGGAGCTACATGAAAAGCCACACAAAAGAATCTTACTAACACCAAGTGCAATATATCGTCAAGGAAGACCAAGTCACAATGCCATCTCACTTTGGAATCCCAATGGCAAGGCGAACAGCCAATGAACCTCATCCAAGGAGGTGGCGACCAGCTAAAACCTCCTTTTTCCTTACTTTTGTTGGGCTTAATCAACTGGATGAATTATCTAATCAGGTGTCGCACACCTCTTTTATAGAGTTGAATTAGTTAAATTAATTATTGTAGATAACATCTATTTCTTAAATAGGGGCTCATGTAAGCCAAATTGAAAATCTAATTCCTAACTAATTCTATTCCATTGAAATAGATTCATTGTTTCCTCTCCTCTTTCTTTAGATTGGCCACCAATCTTTCTATAGGATTGGTCACCTCACTCTCTCATTCAAAAACTCTTCATCCCAATCTGGGATCAAGATCAAATCTCATTATTTAGGCTCCTTTACCCAAGCAAAGGTTCAGACTCCTTAGGCAACCATCAGGAGTATAACAAAAACTTTGTTCTAAGGGGCTTATGAAATTTCAAGCAGATAATTGGAAGGGTATGTCCTTCCCTCCCTTTATCTCTTTCTTGAATAGTCCCATAATCAAAGGAGAAGGTGAACTTTGTTGTTCTAGGCATTGAAATACCATAATGCACCAAATCATGGACAGCGAGCTTTTAATGGATGATTTTGATAGATAATTTCAAAATGTCCAGAGGCATTGCATGAACTATAAACTTGTATGCAAATTTTGCATTAGATATCTTCAAGTATGATAATATTATCAGAAAAAACTACCAGATTAATAATTTTGGTGATGAAATGGTAAGAATAGCATGGTAACAAATTTGCAAAAGATTTGTGATATTAAAACTCCATGCACACTCAACAGGAATGGATGGGAAATGGTATTTATAAAAACCAATAACAAATGGTTGGGCAAAAGCAAATGGTAATGATTATTACGAAGATGGCGGTAAAAAGCTAAAGGGAAACATACATGCAGAAAAGATCCAGTGACTGGATGCTAAACAACAAAGAATAAATGCATCAAGAAAGACAGGTTATCTTTCAGACCACAGTGCCCCACCGATCAAATTTAGCAGGCCGACGTGTTGGAAGATCAACTTACAATTTGGCCTAAAGATCGCATTCTCAGGCCTCTGGTGTGCATGAAATCAGTAAGTGTCCGACCATCAACCGGTGAGAGTTCCAATGAACCGAAATCTGCGACCTGAGACATAATCCATATTGACATTAATGGAAATATTAGGCAAATTGGTTGCCTTTGTGAAACAAGAATATTGATAATTAAGAAAGGAACTTTAATTTACCAGCTTGGAAAGAGCAACTTCATCGTAAAATTTGAGAGCCATATCTGTTAATTCCTGTGGAGACTATACAAGAGGTTACTCTGAACAGTTAAAGCTTAAATGTTACATGCAACAAAAACTGATTGAAACTTCATGGAATAGACAATAACTATGATTGTTAGCCAGAAAAATATTACTAGCTAAATATCCATGTATTAAAATTTGCACATTATGCCGAGAATCAGGAATATATTTTTTGTCTATTATGCTTCTAAAAAGAAGATTAATGAGGAACAACAACAACAACAACAAGCCTTTATCTCACTCTGTGGGGTCGGCTACATGAATCCTTTTTCTCCATTGTATCATATTAAAAGTCAAATTCTCGTTTAAATCTAATAAAGAAATATCATTT